TATTTACTCGTTTTGTATTTATCTATACTACGCGTGATGGTATAAAGAGTGTCTTAAGAGTATATTATATAACAATTTAAGATGATAATTCGTTAAAACGCGCATTATAAATAACGAACGAAAATAGAGAAACAGCAATGTGATCGATTAACCTTAGCAAAACTCTGGAAAAATGCGAAAAGGTGTAATCCCGCTTTCCGAATTCAGATTAGCCTGTGTGGCTTTCATTACCGTTACAAGTAGTTGGATACATTTCGTCGCGTTTCTCAATAATGAAAGGGTTAAGGACGCATTTACGTTACAAGAATATTTCTTTATATAGGTCGCGAAGAGATAGCACTATATTATTATCACATTGCATAAGACCCGACGCTCTATAATTATGAGTATAAACTTATAACAGTGTATTCGCTGAATGAAGAGGCGTTAAGCCGTCGCCGAACCGTGATCGAACTCTATTCTACGTTATGTTCCTTGTTCCTTTATTAAGAAATCGATGGATTGGAAATCACTGTATCGCAATTTATTAATTCTGTATTTGATTTTAAATAATACAACATTTTCCTGGAGAGAATTCTCTCATGGTCACGCAATTAAGTAAATTCATCTTGATGACTATTAATGAGTTTTCGCGTCTCGATCACATTAAAATTCAATTTAGATTATGTCATTACAACTTTCACCTTCAATCATACCTGTAAAAATGCCTGTGAAAAAGCGAGAAAGAAATTATTAACCAAAAATTAATTATTAATATTACTTGACTATAATTAAATTCATATTTCATGAAATAAAAATGTAATATTAATATATTGTTTAATTAACGGGAAACTATCGAATCACATCTTCAGATTAAAAGTATAGATATAATTACGTATAATGCGTATTATCGCTCATTCTTCAGCTTGTATTTAATTTTTAATATACTTCTCTGAATTATTAACAAACTGAAATACAATTTCACCTAATATAGTTTCTTAATACTAAACAATTCATCAATTTTATGAGCGCTTTAATAGAATCAGAAATCTGCCAATAAATCTTTACAAGTATTTATAGTTTTCCAATCGGACGGAATTCACACTTGAAAGAGAGAGAAAGAAATAGGAAAAAGGAAGCGGGGAAAGAACGAGAGAGACAAAGGGAGTGCGCGAGAGTTTATATTTACGAATAAACCGCAGCCGCGGCAGAACGCGAAAGCTCGATGAGGGGAAATGCAGCGTGCGGCTCGCATAATGTAACACACAAGTACAGAGAGAGCGAATCGATCTGTACGTACGCTCGCGCTCGCGCGAATGCAACCGGTTTCCCAGGTTCATTATACCGCGGAGCCGCGCATCTCCTTTCCCGACAAGTGTGCGCCGTGTTGCGCGACCACACCGACGACGGTAGTCCCGCCGCGAAGTTACTTACGCCCGGACTTCATCCCTTTCTCGTAAACGTTCGCCGCGTCTCCCTTCGTCCCGCCGCCGTGGTCCACCTCGATCAGGAAACGCGCAGTCGTTGCGCCGATCGTGGAAATAAGTCATCGAACCGCCACGGTTCACGATCGGCCGCGCCGATACCAGCGCGCTGCTTACCATCCTGGGAACGCGGGATAACATGTGTCTAAGATGGCAATAGTTGTCTTCTTTTCTTTTTATTCTTTTACGTCGATACGTCGTAGTCGTTTCGTCGAAAATAGAGTCGAAAGTGCATATAGAAGCCCACACTGTTAAATTTATAATGTCAATTTATACCCAATTTTAGTTATTTTTATTTCATTTTGAGTTATTTTTAATCATTTCTATCCATGAAAAGAATGGAAGTATCTAAAAATTTAGCTAGATACAGAACTGAAAATAATTTTGTTGAATTGTCAAAATGATTGTATAGGACAGTTAAAAGTTTTTATAGTTATTGCTTGAGTTTTCTACATATAATTATCTTGATGGTCCAACAAAATAATTTTCAAATCTGTATCTACATAAATTTTTAGACACTTCAAAATCTTTTCGTGAATATGACGCTGCTGCGTCTACTTAATATGTCGTTAATTTAACTACACTTAAAGAACAATTCTGTTGGATCGTTAAAATAATTATGTAAGACGTTCAACTAGTTGCTAGAATGTCAGAACTTACTACAATATTACTCATTATGCTTGAAAGTCTTACATAATTATTTTTTAATCCAACAGAATTACTTTCAGATCTGTATCTAGCTAATTATTTTTATTATACGTCAATTACATCGTTTTTTTCCGTGTGAAACAACGGAGTTAAAAATTTAATTCAAGAAAATGTATCAAATTTTATTCAAATTAAATAAATTTACTATTTATTAAGTGCATACATATCAATAGGGTTGTTGTTTAAAACCGACTATAAAAATAGATTGATTTTACATTTTAACTCACATGAAGATATAACAAAATGTTATTTAACTCAAGGGATTGGATTATCATTACTTTTTTAATATCTAAGTATTTCTACCAATATATGTAGATTAACTTTAATCGCGGTTTAATTTACTCTTTATCATTACATATTGTTCTCACATCTCGAAGTGCTAACATGACGTATGTTCACGAGGAAATCGGATACTTAGACATACTTTTAATATTTAATATTCATACGCAATAGACATCTTGGCTCTGTGATCTATTCCGTATTTCAACATTCGATCCATGTTTACATAACAACGAATTATGGATTCGTATGTCTCAGGCCGTTGTAACAAATATAAGGAGAAAATTATTGTTTGTAAAATTACGATGTGCCTCGCGTGATTTGTATTTAGTATGATTTAATGTTATTTAAAATTTGCGTTTATATGGATTAATTTGTTATGATGACTGAAGATGGCTAAGTAAGCTGAAACGTCCCATCTCTTATATTGTCATATTAAAAGTTACTATTAAATATACATTTTATTTGTTTCTTTATAGGTCTTTTTTATCTTTTTATTATTATTTATCTTTTTATAATTTTCTAGAAATTTGTAGAAGCACTCGAAGAAAAGATATTTGGTTAAATTAACTAGAATTCTGGTTAAATCTGTATACTAGAATTCTAGTAGATTTAACCAGACATCTAGTAGATTTAATCAGAATTCTGAATCGTTTATTTTCCATCAGCATTCCAGTCAATTCAATCGAATATTTTTCCCCGTGTAAATAAAAAGTTAAATCGAGATTAATTTACATTAATAAAACTTAATCTATTATACATTAGTAGAAATGGACAAGAATCGAATTATGAGCCGAAGATTATTGTTATTTAAAATTTTAACGTATTTTTGTCATCTACGTTTAGAGATTTCAAATATTATTTTGCGCATCCGAAAATTTTTGTTAAACAATTGAATATGAGAATTTTGAGACAAAATAAAAATTGGAGCATCTGAAAAAAAAATTTACGAATAAATATTTGTTTAAATAGTACCAATGGGATCATTTGCTTATAGAAAATTAATATTTATTTGATTAAAAAAAATGATATTTAAATTAAGTGTATAATTTTTTTGAATTGAACAAATATTTATTTACTGTAAGCAAATGGTCCCATTGGTTTTAATTAAACAAATATTTATTCAAATTTCGTGAATTTCTTTTCAGTGCACAGCCATTTTTTACAGCTACCTCTCAATCCTTAAAGAATGTCGAGCAGAACGTTCGGTTGGCAAACAAGATTAACGAGATTGTTTTCATTACTGCTGTCGCAAAACAGCAGAGTGTTCGAGCTGGCCTTATCAAAATCTCTCTTTCAGAGACGATCTTTGTCGCAAATATCTTTTCCAAATTGAAGTTACTTAAGCGATTGAGCGTTACCTAGGGTAATTTAATGTTTCTCGCCGTCTTCGTGGCTCGTAAACTTTCCTCGTGAATCCACTAATGCGTCTTTTGTCGTCGTTGACACCCTCGACGGATATCTGTCGCGCTTCCCTTGGGACGTGCTTGTCTAAGAGAGCCAGCGAACAAAGTGCCGGTGCGAATTCTGTTTTAGTAGCGGGCCTAAGAAAAGAAAGAGAGAGCCCATTGGTTCGTACGTTCGTTCGGCTCTCTCGGCACTTTTCGGTCAATGAACCGCGTGTTGCTGGCGAACCCAGTTGGTCCACTCGCGCGGCGCGCGATCCCCACTGCCAACTTGCCGCGTCCCGCGATTTAACCCCCCACTGCAGTCGCGGCGGCGATCACGTCAGATCGGTCGGTCCACGTTTTATCCCTACCGGACAGACGCGATCCTCCACGACACGGCTCACCTCCGGCTTCCCTCGATCTCGCTCCCCCCCTCGTTCCCGCCCGCAGCTGCAACCCCTTCCATCCTCGAGACTCACCTCCGACCCGTTCGCTTAATTCTTTTCGTCTCCCCTCCTCTCCCGTCCACCCTCCTGGTATTCCCCTTTGCTTCCCTTCTCCCTCATCGCCACCTCCAACCACCTCTTTACCTCTTCTGAGGTACACCTCCCCCTCACTCTTTCTCTTTCTCTCCTTTCTTGGCTCTCCTCTTTCCTCACCCTTTCCTCCATCCCTTCTCCGTCGCGCAATGTCGTAACATGTACGACGGAACGCCGGCTTTACTTACCTCACAGGTGAGCGCTCTCGGCTGTATCAGGGAGAGGACGAAGGAGTCGTCCTAAGAGAGGGGGAGGAGGGAGGGGAAAAAAGAGAGAGAGAGAGAGAGTATGATCGAGAGAGCGGTGCGCGGAGCTCGTGAGCGAGCGCGAGGGAGAGAAAGACGGCGCGAACGTGGGTAGGGGGATCAAATGAGAAAGAGAGAAGCACGGCCGTGCGATCGAGGAAGACGGAGCACGGGAAACATGCGGCGGAGGGCCCACTCCCGGCACTCGCGCGAGAACGAGCGGGCTCGACGCGCCGCACGCTCGCGGATCCGCGCGCACGCACGTGATCGCGCACGCTCTCGCGAAAAACGTTCCGTCCGATCGGTACTTAACAATTAGCCAAACTCCCTGGACACCTTTCAGAATGCCCGCTTGCGCTTGATTGCGCCATCACGTGGACGATTCCTTCCGATATCTTTGGACGAGAGCAGAGTGCTCTCGACTATCCGGCTCCGAACCGATACGTGCCGATCGCGACGATCTCGTCGGGGCAGTGAGTGGTATCCGATGGCGAATCATTTATCGAAAGGCGACGTCTAGAATCGAGTAGATCCACGAGAGATAATATATATCATATATCTTTTCTAGAATGAAATGATATTTTAAAGGATAACTCTATTGGTTTCTACTATCGACATCTTATATACTTTATCTCAACGCGATAACCAGGAATGTGACTGTGCACTCCGATCAGTGTGGTCGTGCCTCAGGATTCCGAAGTGGCGTATCGAGAATTTGTCGTGAGAATTTACGAGAAACTCGTGAATGTGAATAAACTTGTCCATTGGTGCCGAGAAGGGTTCTAGAAGAAATCAGTTGAGAACCTTTCTTTTCCTCGTGGATTATATACTGGACCAAATCACTTCGATACAGTGGCGAATCGTATCGAAAGAGAATCTAAATATCGGTGAGTGTTCAGGAACCGCTCGTCCAGGTAAATTCACGGGCGTGCAGCGTTAATTTGCGTGTCACGTTTATTCAATGCGAGTCGTAACACGGCGGGAGATAATTGCCGAGGAAATTGCAAAAGTTCATTGCGCTTTCATTCACACCTCATTGTCTCGTGGAAGCGCGCGCAAGTAAGCGGAGCGAGTCCGCGTTGTTTCGAGGTGTCGATTGCGGGAAATTATGAAATTACTATTATTTCACGCTGTTCAATATGTTAAATATATATATATTATATACATATGTGTATCTTAATGGAGATTTCGTAAACACAAACCTTTACGCAATTGCTTTAGATTAAACGAGTGGGAAGATGAGAGAAAGTGTTGCGTCAAATAAATCATGGGGTAAATTCAAGGCAGTGTAATTATAACTTTTAGGACGAGAATAGCCATAGGATAAGAAACTAAGCGTTAAGATATTTATTAAAGCAATAAGTGAGACGAGCTTGTAGATGCAGCGAAAATCGACCGTCACGATCTTTCATAACGTCTATCTTTCACTGTATTTTAGCGATTGCTGTAGAAACAGCAACGGGTGATTAACGGGTTAACGGGTTACTCATATCACTTCTGAATTGCTTTAGCTTTCGAAATGTTCCAAGCTTGTTAGAATACACGCGAAAGACGAGTCGCGAGACGCGAGAAGCCTAATGTTGCCCAGTTTTCTTGACGAGGAGCATGTCTTCGTGCGATGTCGATCGCCGCGGATCGATTCGATGGTGGCGTTCGATGATCGCGCGAGCACGTGGCGTTCGATAATCGCGCGTTCCCAGAGAAATCCTCTCGCGTGTGCGCGCGCGCGCACGCGCGAGATCTCCGCTCGCGAGCGTAAGGTGAACGCACTGACTTGCGACGCGGATGGAACGCGGAACCGAGCGGGCGATGTGCGAGACAAATGATCGTCTGCGAGGCCGCGAAATTCGTCGCCGCGCCGGCAAAATTCGCCCAATTTAAAGAGGACGAAATTACCTCTTCCTATTCGACTTGAATGAATCAATTTTTTTCTCGCGATACGTAAAGTCTTTACAAAAAAATGTTTTGTACTATCAACGAAAGAACAGTGTCTTTTGTACGGGACGTTCGATCGGGAATGCATTTTTGGTCAACAAATATTTTTTAATAAAAACTTTGAATAATTTTTCTTTTCTTGAAACGAAATTGAATGCCTACATTCCTTAATTTCTCCAATTTATCTCAATTTCTTCTATTTAGATATTTCAAGAACTTTTTTTGAAATTTTCTTATATATCTGATATATTATAAGAAAAAAACAATAAATAAGAATTATGAGTTTCGTATATTATACTATCGATTTCTGATATTTTTAGATTTAAAAATTATTTAACAAGGAAACAAGCATGGAGAAGAAATTATTTAGCAGTTTTATATTTTATGTTCAATTTTAATCTGAAAGTCAATCTAAATATTTCATGACCTGTAAAACATGACTTCGTAAAAAATTGGCTCAAATTGATCGCCGCGATACTGGAAAAGTTATGTTACCGTTTCGAAAGCTTTTTGATAAAAACACTTTTTTCAGTTGTTGTGCCATGGATATTCATAATTTTTTCAACAATCGGAAAATTCTTGACATATTACGAAAATACGAAAAGTCGATTTTCCAATTGAAATAATCTTCACGCCATTTATGATTGAAAGAGATTAATTATATAGCAACAATGAACTAATTCCGAAAGAAATTCACAATTACCTGAAAACATACACGATATAGCTATTAGAAACACGCTAATTCGCGTGTTACAAGTATATAATAGGTTTACTAGGAAGCTATCAAGGAAAGGTTTTCATCGAAATTATTTTGGTTCTCATTAATTCTCTTATTACAAACAGTCAGCATTTGAAACAACAAATAAATAATTATAAATAACTTTACGACAAGCCTCTTGATTTTGCGAATCGAAAACGCTTATATATTTACATCGCATTGATTGGTGTTTCGATCGTTGCAGTCTGTGTATCGGTTGATGAATATCTAGCGGCGCGTGAATTGTCATCACAAAACACTTGAAATTCGCGAGGCGGAAAAACAAAGCTGACCAAGGGGATGGAAGGGAGGAATGAATGTTGCGGGAGGGAAGAAAAGATGAGTTAGCGAGAGGTGGAGGAGAGGATTCGAAGCGAAACGTGCAGGTGAGAGAGTGAGAGCGAGCGAGAGAGAGAGAGAGAGAGAACGACGAAGAAGAAGAGGGGTGGATGTTAACGGAGGAAGGGGAGAGGAAGGTTGTGACCAAGAAGAGGAAGGAGGGACGAGCCAGGAAGAAGTCAACGTCCGAAGATTACGGCAATGACATTCACTTTTTCTCACTCTCTGCCTCGTGTTTCTCTCGTGCTCTCCAAGTTTTTTTTCCTCTCCTCTCCGCCCTCTTCTTGTTTCTCCCGCGATTCACCGGCGATTCCTTGTCTTCATCTCTCTCGATCGTGCGAAAATACTGGAATATACAGGGTGGAGTAACTTGGGAAGTTAGCTAAAGTTTTTCGGTACAATTGGGCATAGTGAAAAGTTTTGAAACTCGTTATTTTTCTTACGCAAAAATTCGAACAAAATTTTACGTAAAAGACGCATAATTTTATTGGTTAATCACCGCATGATACAATAATGAATATTTTTTACATAATTTTTTTTTTAATTCGAATATCAACTAAATTTCTTTTTTAAATATCATATTGGAAATCGAAAAATATAAGAAAAATTAATTACTGTTAATATTACATTATTATTATAAATTATTTTCCTGGAAACTATTAGGGATGATTAGGGACAAAATTTTTGCTACTATTTGTTGAGATTTCTTGGAACAAAAGGAGCTTATTACTGTAACTGAAAGCCGCGAATGGCAACTCCTAATTTTTTTCTAAATAAACTTTACGTACTTTCTCAAAAATCAATTTTCTCATCATCGTCTTACATATAAAAATGTTAAGCTGAGATGGTCGAAAAATGAATATTTTATAAAATACTTCATATTTTATCCTGACACATTTTAACATGAAGATATTATGCTTTTCTGTAATATTTGTCTCATAAAATCTCGTAAAATATTCACTTTCTTTTTATTAATTCCTCTTAATATTTTTATGCATAGACTAAAATTAAGAAACTGTTAGATGACTGTTTATATGATAAGAAATAAAATATTTAACTTTTTCATGTGAAATTTGAGAAATTTTTATCCGCAAATTGAAAAATTATCTCAACTTATTCATTTTTATTTTTATCATTTCAAGTATATTAACTTGAAAGGACTGCTTCCCTAGAGGAACATACAATTTTAGAAATGAAATTTCCGCATTCTTAAGTTAGTTTAAATTTAAATTATTCTATTGAACTTTCCATTCTTAACTTCTTGAATTTTCGCATATTTAAATACGAAAATTCGATTGTATATCTTCCGCGATAAATAATTAAGTGGAATGATTAACTAAATATTTATTCAGAGATAAAACAGTTTATCCTAACAAATTGAAATAAAAAATGGACTTTTATATTTCAATATTTTTCAATAATTTCTAACGCCCGCGTGACTGCATTTATGTTACCTTTATTATTTTACGATTATATTTTTTTATTTCCGCGTCGTAGTCGTTGTTTTGCCTTTGGTTTCTGATTTTCTTTTTGTTTTGATTTATCTTTCAGCGAGATGGCTCACGTGAAAAGCCAATGGATGTGTAAACTATTAAAAATTGGCGAGCAAATCCGCGCTCGCGCTACTAGAAAAAAGTTCGCCCTATAAGAAAAGGGAGAGAAAGAACGAAGGAACAAGAAAAGAAAGAAAGAAAGAGAAAAAAATAGCCACAAGAGTGATAAGGACGACGTATCACGAGTAAAGGCGCTCGGTCGATCGCGTACCCCAAAAATAATGGGTTGAACTTTCGAGTGACGTTCTCCACTCGTAAGAAGAAGCTAAGATGGAAACACGCGGCGAGACGATGAGTTCCTTCAACTTTTACGTTAACTACGTTCTTAACGAACGGTAGTCGAAAATCACGCGTTGCGTTAATTACACAAAAAAAAAAAACGAAGAAATCGGTATTAAGTGACAAAGTTCGAAATCCAACAACAACAGCGATAACGTATTGAACTTCCGTAAACGCGGCAGTGTTGTCCTTTTAAAAATTATCCCTCATCAAAACCGACCGCGCCCGCATTCTCTGTTCGTTTGATTCGTATCGAGTGTGTCGTCGATCTTCATCATCCGCACATCCCGTCCGTTATTTATACATTCACGAGGAAATCTCGGGAGCGTAATCTTCCACTCGCAACTTTTATCGCGCTCGTCACATCGCATTCGTCGCGCGGCCATTACGGCCGTGGTCGAATTAAATCTTATTAAGCAGCGGTGTAAATGCAAATACAAGAAACGCGAAGCCGGGGAAGAGTGGCTGCGAGATAGACGGAGAGAGGCGTAATACCTGCGAGGAAACGAGGAAACGTTACTCATGGTTCAAGGACCCCGCGAAGTTACGAGAAAGACGATCAGCGACGACGACAACTGCAAACTCGAGGGGGAAGACACGTTCGTTATGCTCGCCAAAATCGATCATCGACAATAAAACGGTCTGTTAAAAAAAAGAAGATATCGTTTCTCAGAAGACGTCTGATGAAATGCTGGATAAATTATCGAGATACAGGATATCCTTTCGCAATAAAATCGTTTTACTAATGACGCTCGACGTGTCTTGCGAGTTATGCCGGTTTAACTTACGCGACGCGTCGACGGAGGCATCGCTCTTCAATAGAAACGCCTTATATATGATATATAAAAGATGTTATCTACCGACTGAAATAGCGTTGCACCGGTTTGTGTACAAGTAACGAAGGGGAAAGTTTAACCGAACGAAGTTAGAACAAGTTTCGTAGTATACCGAGCGAAGTATCAAGCCTCGAATAATTAAACGAGTTTATTAAACGACAGGCACTTTATTATCATCAAGAAAGTTCGACCGATACGTAACTCTGTTATCGAGATAGAGAAGCTGGATACGTGATGGATATTTGAAGATTCAAGGAAAGTAACGACGTTTTCTTCACCTTTTCTGTCGCTGCGGGGATCGAAGAGAGACAAAGATCGGTGGATCCGTAGGATAATCGTGACGAAAAATCAACGTCATTCAGTCCTCGGGAAGTCACGATTTTCAAAAGATTCGCAAGAAGAGAGTGACGGAGAGTTTCTCTCGTTCTTTTCGCGAAAGCTGCGAAAGTGCCTGTCCGTGGATCGAGTCCAGACTTACCGCCGGCTCGCAGGACCGTCGTCGAGACAAGGATCGAGAAGGCGCTCGCGAATGCTGAATGCCGCAGACGGTAGCATCGGCAGCAAGCGCGACGTGCACCACGCTGTTCGTCGACGCCGTGATCGCTCGTACGTACGCTCGATGCTCGTACAATGGACGTTTTCAAACTCGATCAGTCGCTGAGCGCGGGTTTGGGCAGCGCGCCGGCGCCGGACACCCTCACGCCGGAAGTGTCATTCGACGCCGGCAGTGAGTTCAACCTGAGCTTCTTCGACGGCCCGGAGGAGAACAGCACCCAGGGCTTCAGCGACCCCGGTTCCGTGGGTAGCGCCAGCGCCTCGCCGCCCCCCGGTACACCCGGTGGCGCCGTACCCCCCGTTGCCGCCGCGACTGTTGTCGCTACCGCCGCAACCGTCGCAGCCTCCGCCTCCACCGGTGTTAATAATCCGAACCCGCCTCCGCTGCCGATTGTCCAAGTGCCCGCCGCCGGCATCGTCATTAAGCAAGGTTTGTTTCATTTTTCTTTCTTATATATCGCGCTTCCGATCTTTCATTTCCGCGCCGTTTGGTTTCGACACGCCTTCGTTTCGATTCCGTTTTCGATGAACGCAGCACGAATTTGATTTATGTCGACGTTAGTACGACGATCATGACATTGCAGCTGCAATATACATTTATATGTAATGCTATACGAAACGGTACAATTATGAAATCTCTAATAGGCTTCTTAATACAATTGAAATGTTACGTTACGTTTACAAAATAATTTGCCTACTATCTGAAAACTGTCTGTTAAAAAAAGGATGTTTAACATGAACTATATGATTTTATTTGATTTTAAAAAAGTAATTAACGAGGAGAATGAAAATAGACTTTTTCAACAAAAAATACAAAAGTTATATCATACGAATATTTTTTGTATTATTTTATATAAATATTATTGCATCGTGTGTGTGTGTGTGTGTGTGTGTGTGTGTCGAATAAATCGGAAACAAAAAGGTAAAATAAAATTAAATGAAATAATTGCAACCATCATTAATAACTTTCCTACATGTATATATTAATAATTGCATACAAATTTTATAAATGCTAATTATTTTTTAATGCTGTGATTGACTACTAAATAAATTTTATATGTTCAAAATATTCATTATATTTTAATGATTGTGTATTAACGATTCATTTTAATAGTTTATTAACATTTTAACATTTTATTGAAGAATCGTTAATCGCCTTTCGAAATAAATATATACCATACATATATGTATGTATCTTTCATTAAAAGGTTTATATTTAAACTTTTAAAAATAATATTTAGCGAACCAGTGAAATTGATTGAAAGAATATTCGAAATTATCGAGTTTAATTATTGTTAATGTTATAGACGAATTTATATTTTAATTCTCACTAAAGACGATAAGACAAAACGTATCAGACGATAAGTCACGACAAACAAAATACAATTGAGTTAGGATTGGAGCTTCGATAAAAATAATAGAAATTAGAATAACCGATAATTATAATTTTGCGCAATTAATTTTCCATAGGAACATTGTAAAGAAACTCATTGTCTCTTAACGTAACTTTGATAGTCCGCCGTTTTATATGGGAACGTCTATTTATAGCTCGACCGTGCGTTATACGCTCGGTGTGTCTATGTTTTAACATTGTTTTACATCCTGAGCACACAGACGACGTGTATAGCGCTTCTCGTAAAGGTTAGAATACAAATTGAAAAGGTCGCACCCATGATGCGATACTCGCAGATCGCTCATGATCGCAAGAGTCGCGTACTGCCGTTGTTGATAAAGCTACTCTCAGCAACGCGGATTTTGTTCTCGATCCACAAGTGTTCTTGATGGAGATTGAAAGGGGATTAATTTTGATGAATCGAGAAATTGTTTTCCCGTGTTTCTGAGTCGATCCAAAGAATTCACCACTCGCGACGTTCCCGCTCGTGAGAAAAGTCAAGCGCTGACATTTTGCTCAAACTGGGAGCATTCGAGTGAAATCGATCTTGTCCTAGGATTTTTTCGTCTTTTTTTTCTCGTTCGTTTATCGCCAGTTTTGCATTGAAGCGATTTTGTGGAATATACAGGGTGTCCCGCAATTTGTGAATCAAAATACCATAACAAGAAAATTCTTGGAAAATTAAGTAAAAAAATTATTTATAAAATTCTTATTTTAAGCAGTAGTTTTTGAGATATGAGAGTTTAAATATGGCCAATTACAGTTTAAATGGTCATTTGTGAGTATTAAGTCCGGTTTTTCATTTTCTGATTAACTTATAATTTAAATTTATAACCTTACTTAATCTGATGATAATATAAAAATTGTGTTTCTCTGGCTATGATTAATCACTAAACTGATGATTTTGAAAGTAACTTTAAAAATTACTCATTACAAAATCATTAGAGATTAATCATAGTTATAAAAATATTTTTACATAATTATCAAGTTAAGTTTAACTGTAAATTAACTGGAGAATAAAAAACTTGAACGTGCTGAAGTATACTCACTCAGCGCTCACTAATACTACCACACGACTTATGAACAAGTGGCCATCTAAACGTAGTCTGCAATTGGTTATATTAAATACGACCATTATAATATTATCTTAAGAACTACTATTTAAAATAAAAATGTACAAATAACTTTTTTTACTTAACTTTCCTTGAGAATTTTCTTGTTATAGTATTTTGATTCGCAAATTTAGGGACACCTTGTATAACACCGTTCTATTGTTCAACATCTTTGACAGTAGAATTTTTTAGAAACATATAAATTTCTGCAAACAAGGCATTATATCAAAGGGTCGGTTAAAAAATAGTTGAGGCGAAAGCCTGAATAGCTTTTTTACGATAATTTGATTTATTCGAACGTTTCATGCGTTGTAAATTCTCCCGTGACGACAGGAGACAGCGGAATTACTTGAATTTTCAGGGAGTTTATATGATCCCGGAGTTTACGCGATCCCAAAAAGGGACTACGTGAATTCCAGAGAGGCCGTTGATTATTTTATACATTCGCTAGCAGGGATCATCCGACGGCGATCTGATGGTAGCTACCGAAAATCCAACTTTGAATTTCAATCTCGAGGCGGTCAAGGTCCATCGAGAGTAATTCAATTCAGAAGCGCGAATCTCGCGGGGATAAGAAGTAACGCGTTGACTATTGTCGCCTGAGGCTCGAAACGGTGGTTAGAGAGCATACCAGTATCTCGATTCCGTAACTTCTAACGACAGTTCATACATATCTATATTAATAAAAGCAACGCATTTCTTTTATTTAAGCTGACAATACGCGTCTTTCTATTGGCTGCTATTCTATTACGTTTCTCTATTGTCTAATTTGATCGCTATCTTGGACCTATCAAGTTGGGACTATCAAAAATATTACGTCTAATAAACACTTAGTAATTCTTTAATATGATATACTGATTGTGAGAGAAAAATGTACTAAATTTTAATAAATAATTGTTTGAATAGTAGTAATATAACATTTATTTTTGAAAAATAAATATTTGCTAAATAAGAAACAACAGTTAAATTAAATTAATGGTTCTTGTACCATAAAAATATATGTTTACATTTAGTAAATATTCAACCGACGCTATTCAAACAAGTATTTATTAAAATTTAGTACACTTTTCTCTCACAATTAGTGTTTATAGTATTAGATTCTACATGGTAGACTTTTGCACTGCTCTTTTATAAATATAGACCTCTACACAGTTCGGCATTGTTACATTGTCGTTATATACGACGGCATTGTTACATTGTCGTTATATACGACGGCATTGTTACATTGTCGTTATGTACAATTATACTGTCGGTATACAGTTTTTATGTATATCTGCGCAACAACAGTATAATATATCGGCACTGTCGTTAAGCATTACAGAATCGGGGTACAGGAAGAGAGTATACGATCGGCATATTTCGAAACGATTTTAATGTAATCGCGCGAGATGAATTAATTTCATTCGCGTGTTGCCAAAATTTTTTCGTATTCAGACTATAGTATATAATTCAAGAGCTACTTATGAATTAACCTTGCAGATGCATCTAGTAAAGCCTAGGTCTGTGTTGAACTTCAAGTTAACTTTATATTTTAACGAGCGACTATTTCATTTAATTTTTCTTTAACACCGATAATTAACAAGTTACGAAAATAAATGACATCTAATCCAATTTTCGCCAAAGAGGATTCCCAATAGTGTCATAACACTGAACGATAAGTTTATAAAAAAAAAACGGTTTAATGTACCTTATGTGTTAAGACTGTCTTGTAGATAAAACTTAAGAAGATTTTGCTGGAAGGAAACTTGTTAGTAAGGCGCATAGAATATGCCTGGAAAGTTCCGAATTAACTGGCAAATTACGGAAGTTGTGTGTTTCGCCGACACAGTATAGTCGAGTTTTGACTTAACTTGGACGGTCGAAAAGTCTTCTATAAGCATCGCGATTTCTATTAAAGTAGCATGAATATAATTCCGTTGAACAGCGTCCGATTTTATCCACTCAATTCTGCGTGTTTGAATCTGCGACTTAATGATTTAATATACTTCGATGAGCATTATTCTTCAAAAGAATTCTCCGTATACTTGAAATCGTAAATACTAAAAAGAAAATGATTTATTCATAAGTCGTACACAAAAAGGACAATTTTACTGAAATATTATCTGAAAATTTAACTAGATGTCTGAAACTAATTTTGTTAATTGGACTATCAAAAAAATTACGTATAGGAACCTCAAGCATGATAAGCAATGCTGTAAAAAGTTGTAATATTTTTATAGCAATCAGTTTGAATGTCCTATATAATTATTTTGATCCAACATTATTTTCAGATTTGTATCTAGCTAATGAGTCAATTCTAAACAGAATCGTAAAACTCGTAACGTGTTCTCGTAAAACTTGTAAGAACTTATGAGTAGTATTCTAATTTTACGCGTATATGTCGTAAGACCCACGATCATTTGTAAATATCTACGATTTCTTATAAATTTTATGGCTAATAAGAAGCTGTCTGTAAAAATATTATGTAAAGATATAAGCGCTTAAAAATTCTTATAAGTCTTACAGGAATATGTTACGAGCCTTATGATTCTGCTTAGAATTTAGGCATAAATTTTTAAATACTTCACTGTCCTTTTCTTCCATAGCAATTGATAAATAATAGTCACACGGGCGGTCATATTATAACTTTTCAGTAATTAACGTTCGAAATTGCTTTCCCCGGCCTAGACACGGCCGGATATTAATCGCGAGAATAGAGGCTCCCTTGATCGACAGCGAAAAAAAATCGAAGCTCATTGACACTCCTTTCTTTTCCTTCGTCGCGACGTCGACGCCGGCCGATGGGCCGAAGTCGGGCTGCAAGTCACGATTTTATCGACCATACGAATAGTAAAAGCCAAGAATGCCATATCCCCGCGTACGACTTTCTTACACGGAATGCAGCTTACATGGTTCGAGTGCTTTCCTCCACGAGAAGGAATGAGC